AAAGTCCTTTTGCAATAGGAACTCTCAAAAGGAGTAAAATTTTGAAGGAAATTTTCTTGCTCTATGCACTATGTAAATGGTAGGAAATTTCTTTCGAAAGGCATTTCAGAATAAAATTATCAGAGAAATCTTTGTTGGTCCTTGCTGATCCAGAAAGATTAAGCATTTTCCCACATTTTTAACATTGCTTATCTTCAAGCGAACCTGTGCAGCAGACTTTCTTTCGTCTAAATAGTAACTACTGCAACAATTTTGCGACACTTTCTGATATTTACAATTGTAAGAGTTATTATTTTTCATATTTTCATTCATTTATTTATTTTCTTGTTTGTCTATTCATTCAATTCTCAATTTCGACTCGCGACAAAAGGCTCACCAGTAGGAATCGCTAAATCACGGTATTACATACTATTAGTTCATTTTGATTACTATTGCGATTGAAAAAAAATTGCACAGAATGGCTTTGTAATAGAGAATTATAGGCCCTAACTTTAGAGGAAAATTTATTTCTTGAAAAAACAACTGAGTATGGTTTAATAGGAGAGTTTATGGGTCAAGCTATTCCACACCGCTTAGATTTGTAAGTTGGATTTAATCGAAAAAAATCAAAAATAGAAGAGAAAGTTATTCAACTGAGAAAAGAAAAGACTGAAGAGCACTGGTCATCAGGCCGACTGTAGTTACGTAGGAATTTTCGAAATTAGGATTATATAGGAGTGAGGCTATTCAGAAGAAACTAAAGCAGGTGTATATAGGATAATATTTTATAATACTTGTCAATATAAACAGGGATTAAGACGTAAAATTTTGAAGATAGGGTCGTATATGATTTACAGGAAGGTAAAGGAGATTGGTGGAATGCTAATGTGATAGGCACAGGAGAATTTTTAAAATCAACAGTTCGCTTGTCCAAACACGCTATAGCAAAGATATATCGTGATTTTCATTTGATAACTATTGATATAATAGATCGCGCAAGGTAGGACGATTCAATCGTTGCAGAGATCAGTTCAATACCAATGCTCAACCGGTTGTTCATCGTGATTTCCATTTGTCTATTGGTAAAGTTATGGTCTTTTTTCGAGGCTTTTTATATTTCGAACTTCATCTAGTCATTCAGTAAATTTAGTGTTGAAGAATCGTAGATTTTCAACATTCTAAAATTGCCTAGTTACGGAAACGTCCACTTATCGATACTTAGCATCACATGCATTAAATAGGTATCGATCACATTCTCTGACGGGTACCTCATCTGTGAGCTGTTCCAAGGGGGTAGGCACTTTGGACAATACTTCGCCCTATATCGTCAGACCAAATTCCTTTGGGAAGGTGCGGACTGCAGCCAGCGGAAACGGTGGATTTCCCAGAATGAATATCTCTTTTGTTATATCAAATATAAGGTTGTGCGGAAAGTATCTGCCGAACTTTCGCACTGGTCCAGGTTCCTCGCTGGACTTTTTCGAAACTTCCATAGGCTTTCTATATAAGGACCTTACCCGTTTGTGAGCCGTAACATATCCGGTACCCTCTTCCTTGCTTATTATTTAATCCTCTTATAGTTAAGCTCTTCTCCCATATTCAATACGTACCCTTCACGATATTGAATCAGACCTTTCCACTGCTGAGAGCAACTTGTGTCAAGCATCTGGATACCAAGTGTCTACTGAGAGGGGCTGTGCACACCCTCTTCCAACGCTTCACAGTCTGAAACAGAAATGTCGTAGATGGACCTCCTCATTATCGCCCAATGGGTATATCATAAAATTAGGATATGTTATGAGCATACAATTTAGTAGTAACCTTTTGTGGCCATTCTATGGAAGGTTCTAGGAAATCGCGAGAGAAACCTAAACAAAAATGAATTTTTTGACAAAAAGTTTTCATACAACGTAGTAGAGCGTAATTTTTGCTTGATCATTTCTTAGACAGTGTACATGTGCCATTTAGCTCCCCACGTATTGTACGGACTTCTATAAACATATATGCTCATCTGTTCTTCATTCAAGTAACTACTTCGAACAGACCAAGTACAGCAAGCTTGTTAATCAGTTTATCAAGACGTATGGAATTGAAAGAGTGCTGTGAGTTTTCTTTTGTGAGACCAGCCTAGCCGCTAATAATGGGCTACGTGTGCTNCTCAATGGAAATTGAATCCTGGGGAACAACCACCCATACGGCTTCTATTCAAAATCACCGTAATTTTTTACATAAGTATGGAGTCTCTAAATGACCTGCGAAGCCAAGTGATACACAACTCAGTTCTTTTATCCTAACAAACCAGTCTGGTATGCACCAATAACCGACTCATGAAGGATGGAAGTCTTAGTTATATCGACTTTGCAAGAAAGCTGAGGATAGATGTCTAAAGTGTATGGTTGGGAGAAGTGAATTGAGCGGAAAAGCTCTATGAAAGTGTTTCTATCGCTCAACCCAACTCCTTTTCTTCTTTCGGAAATACGACCCCTCCCCCATATTATAAGCTGATATCGTTCCTACATAGTCATAGCCTGATTCTGTAGTTTTCCTTTTTTTCGCGCTGTATCTAACTGCAGGCTATCTGTAACCACAACTTCTTGGGTTCTATTTCACGCTTACTTTTGCCTTTTGCGATATTTTCCTTCTTCAGTGAAGAATCAATCTGCTTAAGTGACGGAAACTGTGTTCGGCTCTCCGATCACATAGATGACAAGTAAGTATAACTATCAATTTTGGGCTTCATGTAAGAGTTTAACAATGAAGCCACTGCTTTTCAGTGATGGATTTGTGCGATTACTACGAAACGATGTTTTTGTGATCTTAGCTGTACACTTGACAATTCCAGAAAGTAAGTCTCTATGATATCGTAATACGGCAAATTACGGACCTTTTGAAAGAAATTTATTGTATGTTGACGGTGGCTATCTTCTGCATGGGTTTAGGCACGCTGATGGTGAGGGCTATGGGGAACTTCCACAACCCACGCTCCTACGTTCAGTCACAAGCCTCCATCATGCTTCTGCATCAGAGTTCCAGCCCCTACACTAGGAAACTACGCTACCGTACTCAGATCTCTGCATACAAATGACAGCCTGGCCACCAGGTCAATTTTACTTTTCGAAGTAGCGGTATTACTGTAATGCATGGGACTACTGTAGCGATTAATAGTACTGTAACAACGTTCCCTGAAATGCGTTAAAAAATCATTATTAACTTGATTGGGACAAAGTAGACTCCCACTACGAAGAGCTGCATTCCTCTCATCCAAATTAGCCTCTATCCTCTAATCTCTCGTACAGATGAGCATCATCATTTAATCATGATGATTTCCGATTGCTTTCATTGAATTTGTTATAATTCCGGATCGGTACTCGCCCAGGCCAACCGAGTCATTCATCCTTCTGAGTAATTGATACCATGTTCAATCGGAATACGAAAAAACCACTGGCTTTAACATCAGCTGTCCAGTGCTAGTCATTGTAGACGTCACATAACCATTAAAAACGCCACACGCATTCGATTGAAAGTGGGATGCGGGGCTCTTCCTAGAAGCGGCGACTGATTAACGCCAGAGGACTTTATCAGTTGCACTTTATTTTTTTTTAGTTCACCGTTTTGCAGGTGAACTCTACTACGACACAAGTAAATGGAAAGTAGATTTGAGTCGATTAGTTTCGATGAGCTACACTTCGTCTATGATCGGTAAGAATTATAACCTACACCATACTGATTGTATGAGAAGGTTTCTGACAGAAATCATGGCAATTAAGAGTGAAGCAGTGTCGAAGAAATTCAAGTTTCCCCTATCACGCCGAGAGGTTTTTAGACAAATATTCATTGACTTGCATACTTATTTATCAATTTTTCCTTATCAATTATCTATCATATTTATTACTCCAAGTGCCTCTCCAATAATGATCAATAATGCGTCAGGAAATGCGCAGTTGTGAATCAGGCTTGAAAAACTATCCATTAGTCAAAGGGTATGAGCCAAAATTCCACCCAAGATACAGTATACCTACACACTCTCGATCTATTTTTATTCGAATTTGCAGTAGGAGAGAGCGACAGTTTAGGGCTCCAAACGGCATAAAGAACGGTGGGGCAACTAGCTTGAAGTTATCATGCCGTTAGATTCGAAAGAGTCTACCACCATACACCTGCATACTGATAAAATGTCTTTGACCAGGCAAAATATTTGTGAATAATTTTTTTCAGAGGAAATGTTCACTAGTGGAGCTGTAGAAATAAGGAAGGATGTCGAAGCAAATGTGCTTGTCGTTGGGATGGGTTTTATAAATTCGTACCTCCACCATAACTACCCAAAGGTGAGTGGTAGCTTCACTGTGGCTCCGATCAGATCGCTTCTCCGCTCGTGACGGGAGATATCCTCGGATAACACACGTCAGAAGAGGTTCCCTCTGTCATGATTTGCAGCCTATTCCTCGCCGCGCGGAAAATTCGCACTCTAACCTGACCGTATCTGCTCCTTCGCATACTGTCTGAATTCCAGATGCAAATCACAACTGTGGATCATGATCCTAAAATGCTAGAAATTGCAAGAAAATGGTTCGAACTGAGACTAGACAGTCGACACACGGCCATTACGATGGATGGCATTGATTTCTTCAAAAAAGCGGTATTAAAAGGTATGCATAGAGAAAACTCGTACTGGGCATTCTCTACTGTGATCTTGTTTCACTGCCCATGAGATGTCTACTCCTAGAAATTCCATTTGAATAGGCCTAACTGCTTTTCATCCGTGATACATTCAAATCTGATACTGAGCTCATGGAATCTCCAGTGTATGACCCACTCAAGAAGCACTTACAGTATTTATTCCCAAAGCTAGGACGGTAAGCAAACGATCGTCATGGCTCGAGTGGCACGCAGGAAGTCTCTTTGGACGAAGAGGGAATTAGTCATTGGGACGAGAAATAGGAAGCGACCGATTACTTACATCCCGTCCAGTTCATAAGAATTTTAATGATTCACTGCTGTAGAGCGGCTGAAGAGACTGTTTAGAAAGACGAACTTTACTGTCTACACCTGGTTACTATAAAAGGAAATTAAATCTAGCTATGGTAATGCAAGGTTTCTATTCACCCAGGAATACGCCTAATCATCATCGGCAGCTTAGATCTTGATATTAGTGAGAATACCTATGTGGTGGGCCAAATTTTTGAAAAGTATTTTACCATGATTGGAGTAATATGCTTGAAGCTTCAGTACCATCTCATCCCTTTCATACTTTTAACTGGCTTGTTCACCTTACAGCTGTTCTTTGATTTTTTTTTCAGGACTTCATTACAATGCGATTCATATTGATGCCTGTACTTTAAAAGACAATGTGACAACAAATTGCCCTGTGGATGTATTCTACGAAAAGGGAACTTTAGATCTTCTATCAAGATTGATCACCAGCAAAGGTAATGAAAGGATAGGTCACCTAAAGCTTCACTCTCTGAATCAACAAGGTGTGCCTTTAAAAAAAGTCATGGCATCTTACCCCGCAGAAACTATTGAAAGAAAAGTGAGGCTTGCCTCACGTCTGATCAGTTGATTTCCGGCTTTTTTTCAAGCATTCAGGATGAAAATAAAGAGTTCGGTGTTGCTTGATACCTGGTACTGTACCCTATACTAGTTCCCCTTCCAAATTGTTCTCAGGGACACGCCAGGGTACGTGTGAGACAGGATACAGATGATAACTGATTTTGGTAGTTTTTTTATCCAAATACCCACAAATACATCAAATAAAGCGTTCCAATGATGACGCTCACTGGCTGTCACCTCTGTCAAGGGTGTTCTTCTGTTGGAAGCTTCCACTACTTGTTACTATGGCCAAGTAGTTAATGGCGGAACCGAACTCATTGCGCATACCCTTTTCGAAGATTTTTTTCTCATTTCATTTCCTGCTTTTCTTTTTTAAAGTATAGTAAAAGTATAGTATAGCATATCTTTAAAGTATAGCAAAAAGAAACAAATAAATATGTATGTACCACTCAAAGCTAAAAATATAAAAATGGGGCTTGAATTCCCGAATTTATGAAGTTTTCACTTAGTTTTTAGGTGTTGTTATCGTAAATGTGCTTAATATAAATGGACAACCTTACAGAGCTGCAAAAAAGGTATGTTTGGGAGTAATACCGATTCACTAGTCAA